GCACCCACATGGCAGCTAACAACTATCCATAACTCCAGTCCCAGGGGATCTGACAGCCTCTTCTGACCTCTGTAGGCATTGCATGACACAGGTGCACTTACCTACATGCAGGCCTAACACTCATACACATAAAATCAAAATAATAAAATATTTTTAAAAATAGTCAAGACCTATACTCCCTTATACACATATATAAAAATTTTATAGGACTTGTATATGAGAGAAAATATGCAGTATCTGCCTTTTTGAATCTGGGCTACTTCACTTAATATAATTTCTACATCTATCTACTTTCTTGCAAATGTCATGATTTAATTTTTCTTTTGAGTCTGTGCATGTATGTATATATGTGGTATGTATGTGGCACATACATATGTATGTGGTATGTATATTATGTGGTATGTATGTGGTACATGTGCATGTATATAGGTATGTATGTAGTGTGTGGTGTGTGGACATGTATGTATGTGGTATATGTGTGTGTGTGTTGGTGTACTCACTGTGTGAGAGGCTGGAAGTTGACATCAGATGTCCTCCTTAATCTCTTCATCTTAATTTCTGAGACTGTTTTGTCTGGGCTGGCTGGTTGGTGAGCCCTCAGGATCTGCCTGTCTCAGTCTCTCAATGCTGGAGTTACAGGCACATGCTCCACCCATGCCTGTTACACTGATGTTGGGGATCCAAATTCAGGTCCTCATGCTTGTGTAGCAAGTACTTTACCCGCTACATCGCCCGAGCCCCCATATTTTTCTTTATAGCTGAATAAAATTCCATTGTGTATATGTTCCATATTTTCCTTATCTTTCATCTGTTAATGGACACATAAGCTAATTCCATTCCTTAGCTACTGTGAACAGTATAACAGTAAACAAGAATGCGCGTGTATCCCTGTGGTACACTGACTTAAGAGTCCTTTAAGTATAAGCCCAAGAGTGGTACAGCACAGTCAGATGGTAGTTCTGTTTTTAGTTTTGTGAGAAACTTCCATAGTGATCTCCACAGTGCTGCACCAGTTTATCCTCCCACCAGCAGTAGAGAGGGGCTGCTCTTTCCCCATATCCTTGCCAGCATTTGTTGCTTATTTTCTTGATGATGGTCATTCTAATTGAAGTGAGATGGAATCTCAAAGTACTTTTAATTTGCGTTTTCCTGATGGCTAAGGATGAACACTAGGTCTAAAGAGGGGAGGGGTCTTCAGAAAAAAGAGAAAAAGGATAGTAGAATACGTGAGCCATGAAAACATATAGAGGGTACTAAGAGGAAGAAGGGGACTAGCAAGGGAGTACACAAGAATGGGGAAGGGAGCAGGGAAGAAGGATTAAAAAGAGTATGTGTGAGAAGGGCTTCTCAAGAAACTCCAATGGACTCTCATATGAACATTTGAAAATTGCCCCGTTCGGACTTTTTTCTAGTTCTCTGTCTAGAACTTGTAATGCTAATTACTCTTCCTTTACTTCTCCTTCACAGCTCCTATTCATGATTCAAGGACTTTCTTTTCCCCTTAGAGATAAGAGTTAAGCAATTTGGGAGTCTTTTAGATAGACACACTGAAGGGGTAATCCAATTCCCTCAGCCTGAGTCCCTGTTCAGCATGGAAGAAGCCAGAGTGGTCTGCGTCCCTATTCCCTATTGGCAATTTGGGTAACCCCTTCAGAGGATGGCGTGATAAGAACAGGAGGTAGGAATTGGCTAGGCAATAAGGGTAAAAAGACCCCAAAGAAAGTAGGCAGTTTCTTGGCTAAAAGTCAAAATGTCCTTGGGCCTGTTAGCAACATACTCTGTTTCAAAGGCCAAAAATGTCAAAAGTATTTGGGAGCTTGTATCTAATCCTTAAAAGATTTTAGGGTTACCTCTTCAGAGGGGGGAATGTTGGAGGGAGGAGGGAGTGGGCATGGATTTGATCAAAATACCTTATATTCATGTATAAAATTCTCAATAAAGTTTTTGAAAAGTTAAAAAAAAAAAGAGTATGTGTGAAAATGCCACAATGAAATCCGTTACTTGGCATGAGAATTTAGCGAAACTAATTAAGAAAAGGTCAAGAGCGGAAGTTCTGAAAGGTTGGAGGAACAGAGGAACACAAGAAAGTCGGAAGAATTAATGCCTAAACCTCATATGGCATAGAATAAATAACAATCTCACTTAGGTTCATGCTTACATTTGCAATTACAGGCATTGGATAATACAGATTCATGCAAATATTATTTGAAAATTCAATAAAATCATCTATAAAAACAAAAAAAAAAAACATTCTACAACTCAAAATTTCCCTAAATATTTGTTCCTGGATTATGGACATAAAGTTTTTGCACAAAAGAAATCTCAATTTCTATTGTCAAATTTCAGAACTTAGGTTATTCAAAATGTAAATGACCAACAAGCAAGCAGGCATACAAAATATAAGGCCAACAGCCTTACAGAAATAGAAAACACCAAAATGCTTTAATGCTGACAGTGGAATTTCACAACAGTACAGAAAGCCTCATGCAATACCAGGAAAGGTGAGAAGAATTTGTTTTTAAGTTATACTGTTGGTCAACATCACCACACACAACACTAAATAACCTTTAAAAAGCATATTAGCCGCTGTAACAGTAAAGGGGAAATACTGGCTAAAGTTTTAAAGCTCAATTAGAAAGTGTTTATTGGTTAAATGAAAGAGCTAAATGAATTTATAGTCAAATATAAGATTCTTCAAATGAGAATTCTTCGCTAAATGACAGAAACAAATAAAATAACTCTAGAGACAAGAGTGAGACACATATAAAAGTATTATTATATATTTGTTCATTATCAGGACATAAAGTTTTATTTGATAAATCAAACAAATATTTAATAAATGTACTTAAAGCAATATTATTGGTAATTAAAATAACTCTTACCTTGTGAAGAAACATCAGATTTATTTCTTATACGTATTAAATGACTTTGTACTGGCTTCTGTTCAACTTGTTTAACAGCTGTATCTTGCTTTCGTTGGTACTAAAATATTTAAGAAATGAAGCTGTAATATTTTTAAGTTAAAAAATTGATTGGTTATGTTAGTCAGTATTTATTACATAAACATTTAATAATTTGCTTTCTAACAGCTATTTTTGTCATTTATTTATAACAATTGTACCAATAAACAGATAAAAAATATTTCAAAAATATACATATATTTCAATATTTAGAGTCATTTCAGTTTTATTAGCTAACTGAAAACTGCGTATAAACCACTTTCTAGATTTGCATGCACATGATGGAGTTAGAAAGGACAAGCACTTCTCAGCCAGACTCTCCCATATGACCATTTTTGCATGAGAAGAAAATGCACATAACGTGCTACAGTTTTCAAACAGCTTTTCTATACAGTCACAATTCAATTCTCACAGATGTGGGTAGTGTTGTCATCTCCATTTGCCACTCACAAAACACATGCTCCCTCATAAACCCCACCATCTCCACAGTACCTAACCAAATTAGAAACTACAAGACTCAAAGACTCCTTCACAATGACACATCAGAAATTGTAATAACTTTAGCTGTTTTCATTCTTTCCTTTTCTGTTTTATAAACTTAATTATGACTGAGTCCTGAGAAGAGCTATCAGATATACTATAACAGAAATTTAAAAGATAGCTCTGGACCCTTATGCATAACTCTAACCAGAGAACCCGAAACCCGTCTACAGGGACTCTTCAACTGCAGGTCCCTCTTCATCTCAAGGTAACCATGAGCAGCCTTAGGTGGCAGTAACAAATAAGCTTTCACTGCGGTCTTTCAAATATACAGTCATTAGTCAATGAAGGTTTCTCCTTTGAAGAAAATAGTTTGGTCTGTATTTCAAAGACAGGCAGTACACATACAATTCCTAATTGGACAACTCAAAACCTGAAATACTAAAAAATCCCAAACTTTTTAAGTGTTAAGAAAATTCTAACACTTGAGCTCATGTAACCAGTCACATTCAAAGCATGGAAACGTTAAAAACAATATATAAAATAACCATCAGGGTATGTGCATAAGGTGTATATGACACATAAATGAATTTTGTGTTTAGACTGAGATCCTCAAGATCTCATTATGCACATGAACATGCTCCAACACTGTATTTGGCTCTGGCTGCTGAGACTCAGGACTTCCTGGTTTCCCTTCCTTTACACAGTGAATAAGAACTGAGTGCTGGAGAAGTTAGCTGCCCATGCTCAAATCTGATAAGCTATTTTCTAGCTTTGGCCTTGACAAATCGAAATATTTTTTAAGTAATTAATTTTTATTTTACGTGTGAATTTTATCAGCCTATTCTACATAGCAAATTCCAGGCCAGCTGGGGCTACAGGGAAACCCTATCTCA